AAACATTCACTTAATGGTTAAAATCCTTTCCTGGAATTGCAGGGGTGCCAAGCACCGTAAGTTTCATGCTACTTGCGATTTTTATAGGGTCACTTATAGGCCTGATGTTCTTTGCATCCTCGAACCTAGACTTAGTGGAAAGGAGGCAGAGATTTATCAAGAGTCTGGGGTTTGATACCTGGGCTGTCTCCGATGCGCCTGGTTTCAGTGGGGGTATCTAGGTGCTCTGGAACCGCAGTACTCTCAATCTCTAAGAAGTTGACACACACAAACAGTTTGTTCATTTGAAGTGCATGGTACCACCTATTGGTGGTCTAGGCCAGTCCCAACGAGCATGACAGACATGTTCTCTGGAGAGAGGTGGAGGAAATTGAGAAGACTATCAGTACCCCTTGGTTGCTTACTGGTGACTTCAACTTGATTACCAAAGCCTCGGAGAAACAAGGTGGAGCACCTTTCAGCTTTGCTAAGGTGAAAGCTTTTAACGAGTGTATTGAAGAGAATGGTCTCATTGATTTGGGTATCGTGGGACCCAACTTCACTTGGTTTACAAGCAACAGAGGCATTAAGGAAAGGCTTGACAGAAGCCTTTGCAATTTGGAGTGGCACCAACAGTTCCCTGCAACAAATGTGCTGCACTTGCCTAAGCTCAAGTTAGATCATAGACCTATCCTAACCTGTACTACACAAGAAAAAGGAACACAGAAAGTGGCGAGAAGGTTCCACTTCTCGCTCCATGGCTTGACCACGAGGACTTCCTTCCCTTTGTCAAGAGTTCTTAGAGATCAGGATTGGATTTCCTTCCTGCCCTCAGCAATTTGGCTGAAGCCCTCACGACCTGTAATAAGGATGTGTTTGGCAACATATTCAAATGCAAGAGGGAGCTCCTAAACTGCCTCAAGTCATTGGAAGTGATCAACGAGAGGAATCCCTCAAGTAGCTCACTCTCTAAGGAACAAGAGGCCAGGGAGGATCTTGAAGACACCCTCTGGCAAGAGGAGCTTCTCTGGATTTAGAAGTCAAGGTCGAATTGGGTTGTGTATGGGGACATGAACACGAGATACTTTCACAACAGTACCCTGAGCAGAAGAAAGAGAAACAAAATTCCGGGGTTGAGGAATGAAGAGGGAGAGTGGGTCACCAATCCTGATATCCTCCAAGAGATGTCAAGAAGCTACTATGCCAAGCTGTTCACCAGGATTGAGAACACAGACAACACTTTTGTCCCTGCTGATTTCCCACACATGGATGGAGATTGGACTAGAAGACTGGGAACCCCTCCAAGTAGTGCTGAAATCAAGAGCATCATCATGGAAATGAATTGCCTCAAAGCACCTGGAAAGGATGGATTCCACGCTTTGTTCTACCAAAAGTGTTGGAACCTTATTGGGACTGACTTTTCTCGTTTTGTTGTCTACTGTTTCAGTGATCCAGGCAATATCAGTAGAGTGAACGAAACCCTCCTGGTCTTGATCCCCAAAGTGGAAGCACCAGTGTCAATGAACCATTTCAGGCCTATCAGCCTCTGCAACGTGGGGTACAAAGTGGTGGCAAAGAGCCTTGCTAACAACTTGAAACGGCTAATGCCCCATCTTGTCCACCCCAATCAATCCAGTTTCGTTCCTAAATGTCACATAACTGATAACATTATTATTTTGCAGGAGTCTGTGCACTTAATGGGGAGGAAAACAGGAAGAAAAGGAAGCATGTTGTTGAAGGTGGACCTTGCAAAGACCTATGACTGGGTTAGCTGGAGTTTCCTTGAGGAAACCTTGGTGGCTGCCTGTCTCCCATCTAACTTCATCAGAATGGTCATGGCCTGTGTGTCTACCACCAGTTTTCAAGTGCTGTGGAATGGTGGTGAGACTGAAAGGTTCATTCCAACCCAAGGACTTAGACAGGGATGTCCTTTATCCCCCTACTTGTTTACTTTATGCGTCGAGAGACTTAGTCATAGTATCCTGCATGAGGTCAAGGAAGGGAGATGGAAGCCAATGAAGCTCTCTCCTGGAGGCCCTCCCTTGTCCCACCTTTTTTTTTGCTGACGACTTAGTCATGTTTGCTGAAGCTAACCCTTCACATGCTGATGTGGTCATGAAATGCTTGGAATCGTTTTGCTGTGCCTCTGGGGAACTGGTTAGTAGGGAAAAGTATAGGGTGTTTTTTTCAAAAAACGTCAAAAACTCCACTAGACAAGAAATATGTGGCAGACTTGGAATACAAGAAACCCATGACCTTGGGAAGTACCTTGGGGTTCCTGTGTTGCATGGTAGGTTAACTAGATATACTTACAAGTATATACCAGATAGGATGGATCAGAAACTAACTACCTGGAAAACCAGGACCCTCTCGCTGGCAGGCAGAGTTACCCTGGCTAGTGCTGTGTTGAATGTCATTCCTACCTACGCGATGCAAACCACGTTCATTCCACTCTCTGTGTGTGATCTGATTGATAGAAAGGTTAGGGGGTTTGTCTGGGGGTCACAGGAAGGGAAAAGAAAGGCCCATCTTGTGGGATGGGATACAATCTGTAAACCCAAAGCACAAGGAGGGCTTGGCCTGAAGTCTGCCCGCTGCCTTAACATGTCTTTTATGATTAAGCTGGCTTGGTGTGTGTTTAACAAGGAAAATGAGCTATGGGTCAAGGTGTTGCAGGGGAAATACTTCAACCACAAGCATGGAGAGATAGTTTCAATTAAGAAATCCAACCACTCCAACCTCTGGAGAGCCATTGTGAAGGCGCTACCATTAATGAAAGAGGCCACCTGCTGGAGTATACGAAATGGAAGGGACACAAGCTTCTGGAATCAACCATGGCTTGACTGTGGAATTCTGCTTAGTGACCACCTGCTGCAGGACATCACGAGGAAGAGAGTAACTCGACTGTGGCAGACTGGGTTACTGAAGAAGGTGAGTGGATGTGGGGAAGGTTAAAGGAACTCCTACCTGATGACATCCTTCTGATGATTGCAGGTACCAGCACCCCCAACCCGGATCTTGGCGAGGACAAGATGCTATGGGGGCTCGAGAAAGACGGGAGATTCCGGCTCAAATCGGCATACAACATGGCGGCAAACACTGATAATGAGGGAGAGTCACTATGTTGGAAGGCGATCTGGCAATGGAAGGGTCCCAACAGGGTCAAGCACTTCCTCTGGCTGGTGAGACACTAGAGACTATTAACAAACAAGGAAAGAACTAGACGAAAGATTGCAACAACGAGCAGCTGCAACTATGCGGAGACGAGGAGGAATCTGTTGATCACATCTTGAGGGGATGTGTTAAGGCTAAGACTTTATGGGGTAGATTCAAGGAGAAAATCGAAGTGAAGGACTCCAACATCCCCTTTCAGGACTGGCTCCTTTTGAACCTCAAGAGTGAGAAGTCAGGGGTGGACTTTGGATTATATGCTGGATGCTGTGGAAATAGAGGAATGTCGAGGTTATGGAAGGAGCACCCTTCTCTGAGCAAGGATTGTAGTGCAAAATCAATGCTTGGCTTAACATAGTTGAGCAAGCTAGAAAAAGAGAAGAGAAGACAAGGTCTGGCCCTGTCTATCTCAAAAGAAACCAACAAGTGGGATGGAATCCCCCGCCGGAAGGATGGGTGCAGCTCCAGATTCACGGATCGGTACTTTCACCACCAGGACACGCTGCGGCTGGAGGACTGATCAGAGACAGCCAAGGCAGATGCAAAGAAGCATTTGTTTGCAAATTGGGCACCCGCTCCATCACTAGTGCAGAGCTTAAGGGCGTAGTGGAAGGGCTGAAGATTGCTTGGAGTAAAGGCTACAGAAAAGTCCACTTGAATATGGATTCGTCCACTGCAATTGCTATCATCAAGAACCATGAGGACGACGAGCATCGCCATGGTCATGTTGCCCAACAGTTTCGCAACCTGCTCAATCTTGAATGGGTTGTTATTATTTCTCATGTCTTTAGGGAGGCTAATTTTGCCGCAGATTACTTAGCGGATAGGGGACATTATGTTAATTTTGACACACATCACTTCAATGTGTGCGACCCGGGCCTCAGGCAATGGTTGTACCATGACATCAAGGGGGTTTCCTATGATCGGTTAATTAATAATACGAATTAGACGCTTGACGTCGCCTTTCTACCAAAAAAAATACCATACAAAAGCCCAAAGAATTCATACAAACAGACCCAGCCGTTGGGGTTGGGTTCACAAAACAAGGAGTAGTTCTAGTATTTTGGAGAAAAAAATCCGAAATAATTTTCCCACTCCTATTACCTAGCAGTCTCGCCCAACGGCCCAAGTCTCACACCAGCACTTAGGGATGGCAACAAAATCCGAACCCACGGGTACCCACCCGACCCAATCCGGTCAACGCGGGTAAAACCCGTGTTGACGGGTTTTGGGCCGGGTTCGGGTTTAAACCCGCTACACTATTCACCGGGTCGGGTCGGGTTTGGGTTTAGATAAACCCGCCCCATGGGTACCCGCCCACACACATATAATTACTTTCTCGGTATGTTTAATATTCTAAATAATATATCTTCCTTAAACAACTAATATTCTTTATGTTTGTGGAGACATGTATAATTTGTTCTTTTTAATTGTTTAGAATGAAGTTGATATTATGAAATGGACAGTGAAGAAACTTAGTTGACGAGGAAGAAGCTTTCAATTAATCTTATTGTTTATAAATGTTTATCTTTAATTTTGAACAATTTGTATTGATCAATTGCGGTTTGCTTGTATGCTCTAGATTGGTGTTTTATGTATGAATAATTTGTATGAGAAAATTGATGTTAAACTTTTATTTTGAAAGAAACTTGTTATTGTAAATTTTTTACCACAAAAACCCACGGGTACCCATGAACCCGCGGATACCCAACGGGTTGGGTTGGGTTTGAGTTTTTCAAACCCAACGAGTTTTTCCCCGGGTTTTTTTGGCGGATAAACCCATGAATTTGGGTTTGAGTTTGACAAAACCCGCCCAACCCGACCCATTGCCATCCCTACCAGCACTAGCCCACGGTGAACCAGCAAAACTACTGGCACTCGCTCTTCGCACCATTTCACCATCTCTGCGCGCCTTTTCCTTATCACTCTGCTGCTTCAGAGTTTCGATTTCGGTTTGTGGACTCGACAAGGTAATCCTCCGCTTTCAGAGTTTCTTTTGGGACGCAACTACAGTAATTAGTTAGGTTATCCCAATCTGCATCTGTTAGCTGTTTGAGACACCCTTTTCTTGCTTCGACTTTGTATAGTAACCCGCAAGATGAAGCGGACGTGCGACTCCAGCGCCGATAGACTTACTGACCTTCCTGTCGAAGTGATACAGCGCATTCTGGTGTTCTTACCCATTAAAGATGCCGCCAAAACTAGTGTCTTGTCAAGGAAATGGAGGCATCAGTGGAGGAGTATTCCTCAACTTGTGTTTGATGATGGTTTTGCTCGAATACCTCGGGTTTCTGAATCTGAATCTGAATCCAAAGTGAGGAATAAGTTCATAATGCTGAACCTCTACAGGGCCCTGCTTGTTCATGATGGGCCAATAACAAAATTTGTGCTTTCAATCCCTGGATTGACCCCCTGCGATGAGATTGACAATGTTGTTCTTCACCTTTCGAATAAAGGCCTCCAAGACCTTACCCTTGAGTTTTACGGTCCTGGGTATAACAAAGACGGTTATCAGCTGCATTCTTCCTTGTTTTCTGCTATTCACCTGAAATGCCTGACACTTCAGTCTTGTGAAGTCACACAACCATCTTGGTTCATTGGCTTTAGCAAGCTTACCGATCTTCGATTAGAAGAAGTTACTTTGCCCTGTGATTTCTTCACGAATTTCCTCACTATGTGCCCGGCGCTTGAATCGTTGAGGGTTACAGATTGTGGCGGTTATGCTTTTGAGCTTGAAATTGTCGCTCCATTTCTAAAATCCTTCCACTTGAACGGATCCCTCAAGGATATCAGTTTCAAGTGTACACCGCGTCTGTTAAGTCTCACGCTTGATGTGTACGAGACCGACATGCATGAAATGGTAGCCTTTTTTGCTTCTATCACGACACTCCAGCAACTTTGTATCAGCACTCAATTTATGAGAGTAAGTTGCTTTGTCACGACCAATTTCGATTCTTGTGAAATTGTCTTCTGGGTTGCTTTTACTCATCGATGCTGTTTATTGTGCTTGGTTTTCTCTTAGGAACTTGCTGAAGCTAATAAGAATGTCCCCACCAGGCTTCCTTCTCCTCTTCACGGGTTAGAAGTCCTTGAAATAATTGATGTTGCATTAGATAGCTTGGAGCTGAAGCATGTCTTTCTTTGTTTGATCACGAGTTCCCCCAACTTGCGCAGGCTCAGAGTTGAGGTTCGTTGGGTTTGCCAACTGACTTTTCTGTTTGCAGGACTTTAAGGGGTGCATAAATTTTTGTTATCATTAACTGACTGACTCTTCACAAATTCTCTTGTAGATAGACTTCAACCAACTATTTTATCTGGCCGGAACTACTGAATTTAGCAGCATACGAAAGTTGTTGGAAGCAGAGGACTGCCCTGGATTTTCCGGTCGCTTTTTCCAACATCTTAAAGTGTTTAGATTGGAGGCCAGCTGCGGTACACAAGTTGAGCTGGACCTTGTGCGGTTCATCCTCGCCACTGCCCCTCTACTTCAGCGGATTCACATTACGCCTGCATGTCATTTGAGCTTTGAAACTCGTTTGAAATTCACGGTGGAGGCAATGAGATATAAGCGCGTCTCGAAAGAAGCACAGCTTATATATGACATGGATTTTGATCAGTGACGCTTTCAGCTTTGGAGCAACTTCTGCCCTTCAGAATTCATATGGTTGTGTTCTTTTTCTTATTCACCTGCATGAATGCAGTGTTGGTCGTCAAATTTGAGGATGTGTATGTTCTAGCTGCATATTGTAAAACCTACTTTCTTGATCAGCAAGAAATGTCAAATCCAACTAACTAGTTATCTGATTACATCCGAAAATAGAGATCACAGCAGATAGAAAGAAAGGAAATCAAGAGTAGTTCGTAATTAGGCGAGAAGTGACTTGTTTTAGCAGCTTTTTTAATTGGCAATAACGTTAGAATCCGCTCCATCACACTGCCAAGAAGGTTGCTAGTTCTATCACTAGTACCAAACTCGCATTAGAAAGTACAAACAAAAGATAGCCAATGACAGATTAAGTTTCATGAAACAGAAAGAGTATCCCAGTTCCCAGCTCAGTAAACAGCAACAACGTAATAAAACTTCAACATAAAAAGAAGTAACAATGTCAAGACAAGTCCACGCTACTGCTACACATGGAAGACATGGCATTAAGAGCCCCTCATGCTGCTGGATGATATGTAGAGGAAAAGACCATTAATGTGATGTGTAAAGCTGCAGATGTGTCAATCCTCCTCGTCGTTCCATTCATATATGATCTCTGCCTCTTTAGAAATACGCTTATATTGCATCACCTCCTTCATAAATTTGGTAACCTTTTTAGAGCTCAGTCGATGATAAGGATGAATTTGAATCCTCAAAAGCAGCGGGGCAGTGGCAAGTATGAGCCTCACCAGCTCCATCTCAAACTGTCCCCCCAGACTATCATTGATTTTGAACACCTTAAGATGCTGCAACAAAAAATCGGAACCATGGCTATCCTCTGCGCTCAACAAGCTTCTTATGCTTGTGACTGCATCATTGTTTCTGGGCTAATCTAGTATGTCAGTATCCAGCTACAAGAGTATTTGTCAAGTAATCAAGTCATGGCAGACAAAAGAATATATATCAACTCATAAATTTGCAACACCTGAGGGACCAACCTGGATCACAAGGGTGTGCAAGTTGGGGGAGCTCATGATGATACAAGCAAGAACACGCTGCATCTCCAAACTAGCCAAGAGAAGACCAGACACATGCAGGAGTTGCAATCGATAAAGAGGCTTAGGAAACCTGCTAGGGATATGACCTCCATTAGCAAGTACCTGAGAGAAGACCATATGCATAACACACCATTTCAATTTAATAAGTAGAGGACTCAGCAGGTTGTTTTGGCAACAATATAAAAATGTCTTCGGTAAACTTACTCGCAATAAATCTGGTAGTATGCCCAACATCTGTAGTGCTGGCAGCGAAGCAAATAAATCTACCACATTAGGCTTTTGGAACACATCTACATTAAGAGCGAGAGCTGATAGAAGTGGAGTACGCTTGAAGAACATTTTCTGCAAACGATTCCCAAAAAAGACGAATAACATGAGTCTTGGAGCATCTAGTTCAAGATTTGTAGGACCCTCGCAGTGGGACAGGTTCACTTCTCGAAGCAATGGGCACTTTGGAAGGAAACTCTCGAAGAAATCAGATGGCAGGTTTACATTACGTAGTTCAAGTTTCGTAAGCTTACTAAACCCCACAAACCATGGTGGTACAATAAACAAACAACCTTCCAGATGCAAACAATTCAGCCGAGTAGTAAACAACGAGGAAGGGAGCTTGTAAATATGACCGGCCACAATAGAAAGCACAAGGGTAAATTCTTGGACACCTCTGCCAGAAAGATGAAAAATGATATGATCAAGTTCATCGCAGGGGGTTAATCCAGGAACAGCAAGCACGAACTTCGAGATTGGCCCATCATGAACCAGTAGAGATTTGTAAATCTTCAGAATTAACTTGCCCATCATACTCGGTTCAGTGATACGAGCAAAACCATTATCGAACACAAGTCGAGGAATACTTCTCCAATGACGCCTCCATATTGTTGACATGAAAGCTGTTCTTGCTGCATCTTTTATTGGTAGCAGCATTAGAATGTGATGTATCACATTTTCAGGAAGCTGGCTAATTCTATCATCACCAGACTCTCCAATTCCCTTCATTCTCTCGCTATGCTCTGCATAAAAATCAATCGTAAGATAAAACATGCAGGCAGTAATCAGTTATATGAATGTGAATACTGGTTGGAATGGCTTGTTTCCCTTCTTGATTTCAGTTACCTGTAAGTGACAATAAGGACATAAACCCTTTTCGTGGCTTTCCAGTTACAGTAACTGGAATATTCAGAGGCCCATCCATATATACAGAGGAAGAAGAAGACGTGGGAATTGGGGGCTGATGCAAGATCTTGGTGGACTGGAAAAGACTCGTAGGGCATTAAACACACTTTAATTCTGCACAGTACATATCAATTGAACGTTGCCTTCTGGCATTCCCAAGCAAGCATGATAGAAGGAATTTGGACAGCCCATCTGAATACGAGTGGGAACTTTTTGGGATTCAACCATGCATGCATCAGATGCTCTGAACTTCACTACGTGCTTCCATATGATTGGCGAGACATTTATGATTTCTGTGACTGCTCTCCTAGCAATGAAGATCGAATAAGTCGAATTGATTGACGACTGCTTCCTAGATCTATAGTCTCCACTAAATTGTTCCCAATCAAAGTACTACCCTTTATTTTATTTCCATTTTCAATTGTTGTAAAACATGAAAGGGGTACGCTTTTTCAGCCCCAAGACCTTAGACACTGTTTCATTTTTTGGCTTCTACCGTCCAAGTACTGAAAAAACTCCTCCAACGCAATTTTTCACCCACAGCCGCACGCAAATCCCCTCGGCCTTACCCTCAATTCAGCAACCTCCCCCAACGCAATCTTTCACCCGCAGCCGTACGCAAATCCCCTAGCCCTTACCCTCAATTCAGCAACCTCCTCCGACGCAATCTTTCACCCGCAGCCGTACGCAGATCCCCTCGGCACCAGATCGCCACACATACTCCACGGGCAGCGGTACTGTAGCCGTGCCTTGCCTAAGCTCAATTCCCACCGAAACCTACCGCCGTTCACCTCGGCCTGGTCTTCAATCCAGCAACACCCATACCGTTGCTCGCTCAGTTTCCCAGCAATCGCAGGTCACAACACATACTCCACAGTTAGCAGTACTGTATCCGTACCGTACCTGCGCTAAGTTTGCCCGAGAACACGCATACCCCGGTCATGTCTATCTCTTCCCCATTCTATTCTGCTGTTCCTAATTTTCCCACTCCCTTGACCCCTTCTCGCATGCTCGCTCACGCAACCGCCCATGCTTTCAGCACCGTGTGGTTTATTTCACTCACTACAGGTAAGATTGCTCTCTCCTCGCTCAGATCCTCCTCTTCTGATCCACCTCTCATTCTATTCTTTTGCTTCCTCTTTCTCCCCGTCAACGCCACAACCGTCCGGCAAACCCGCTCAGCCGCCTTTACCTCTTCTCCTTGCCGCCATGAATCATGTCGTTCTCTCGAAGCTGGCATGGACGGACAAAAGTCCTGCTGTCAAATTGCGCCTCCTCCATACATGGATGGCTGGGAACCCTTCCCGGCCCGACGGGTTCTCTGAATACGCTACACTTTGGACGGACGAATTGGTAAGTCTCTCCACTTTGGGTTACTGCTTATTGCTCTTCCTGATTCTAACGTTCCCTATTCTTCTGCCAGGGGGTGCTGGTACAGGGCCTTGCCTCCAAGCTTCTGTCGGACCAATTGAAGGAGGTTCTTTCTGTTGGCAAGATTTACTTCGTCACACAGTTCTCCCAACGTGAAGCAAAAAAGCGTTGGGCACCCTGTTCCAATGATCGCCTTCTCCATTTTACTTCATCCACCACTTTTGTCCTCGCTGATGAGGATGCTTCGAGTTTCTGTGCTGATAGCTTTGAGTTTCGCCGCTTCGAGGACCTGCACGGCATTGCTTCTCGAGCTGAACACTTAGTTGGTTCGTTTTCCATCCTTTTCTCACGCGTACACCTGATTCTGCCCTCCATTCTGAATTAAATTCCTTTTCTTAGATGCTGTTGGTCGGCTGGTGTCTGCAACACCTGTCACCTATTTCCAGAAACAACATCGGTCCATCAAGAAACAAACTGTTGTCATTGAGAATGAGCGGTTAGTTCTCCTGACACTTCTTCTATTATAGTTATCTACACTCGGGTAACCATCTCATGCCCTTCAACGGTTTGCAGCGGAGCCTCACTGCCAGTTACGTTATGGGCGGAGTTTGCTGATAGACTGCCCCTGGCTCAACTTATTCAACTAGACGGGGCTGCACCAATTGTCGTAGCGTTTACTAGCCTCAATCTGTCCCTGTGGCGTGGTAAGAATATCTCGGTTACTTTGTGTGTCAGTCTAGGATTACCCTCAAGTTTCCATAACTAACTTCATCCTGATTTTGCCTCCTGCTCTAGCTAACTCCTAAACTGCATATTATCCTTTGCACGTTAACAATTTCACACCTTGCCAGCGGCAACCACTGGTGCCTGTGATTTGCAAATATTCCACAAGCATTCTATCTTTACCCCTTACCTTTGCCATGTTGTCCTGCCTTCCTTTGTCGTGTGGTTACATGTGCATTCTTACCACTTTGCGTATCTAACTAAACCGATGTCTAAAGCTTTCCAGAAATAGAGGACTTAGTTGGCAAGGAATACATCTTCCTACTGTACCTTCCTGTGGGTCAAGTTTCAGACTCTATGGCTGACATGGTTGTCTCCAGTATTGAGAAAGATGAGCAGCCCGCCTCTATAGACAGGCAGCCGCATGGGCCACGATTTCAGAAAAGGCATTCAACCACCATTGCCACGGTGCCACAGCTAATGCCTCCGAGGTTTGTTGTCGACAACCTAGCTTTCCACCATTCACACCTTCAAACACTAATGTTACCTTACTATTCTGCTCAGGTCCACAAACTACATCCAGCACGCACCTTCAAACAGCTCTGACATAACGGTTTTTGCATCGCCGACCAAGCGTCTTCGGGACGTTTCCCCAAGGTGCGGGTTTGCCCCCACACTTCGTAATGTTTATTCTCAATTTCTACATGCTCAAACTGCATGTCAGGTTCCTAATTAACCTCCTCCTTTGCAGTACTTCCATGGTCGACGATCCTGTTTCTCAGGAACACACAGAGTTCAGGGCCCCGCGACCAGTTCAGACCTTAGATATGAGGTAGCCTCCACTTCTCATGCTTCTTTCATTATAGCGACACCTATTCCGAACTTCCCATGCTGCTCATGCTTAGAACTTGCTTGCACTGCTCATAGTTAGTTCTCCTACAGGTTGCACTTCTCATGCTTAGAACTTGCTTGCACTTCTCATACTTAGAACTTGCTTGCACTGCTCATAGTTAGTTCTCCTACAGGTTGAGCTCTCCGCTGGCAGGGATAAACATTGCCACCCCATCTTCCAGTGAGAAGAAGAAGGATAAATTAAGTGACACTGCCCATGTGGAGCCGCATCAGTTGCTGTCACGGTGTGTTTGCCTCCTACCTTACCTGGAATGTGTTTTTACCCTGCATACCTTATTACTGGTCTTGCCTGCTTATCGGATTTCTCCTTTGTAACAAACAGGCCTGCCGACATTGCCATTACAGCTGCTGCTGGCCTGGGAAATACCTCCATCCATGAGAAACCATTGCCATCTGCAGCGCTGCTCAAAGACATCCCCCCTTCCATGTTGCCCATCAACCCGTCAGTCTATTCCTTGGTTATTGGCTTCCTTGAAATTCCTTTCCATCACATCTATTGCTTGCTGATACACCCATTGTTTTGCTTCTTTGTCCAGCCTAAGCCATCCACTCGCAAAGGTGAAAGTGGAGAAACTTCAGTACTCGCGGAAAGACGCGAAGAACTCCAAGGATTCTGATACTTTGCCCATTTCCCATCTGAAGACAAAGGTTTCGAAGGGCAAAGGTGTCGCCAAGAAACTGTTCCAGGGATGATCCTCTCCTACCTTCTGCAGGCGTATCCTCTCCTACCTTCCGCAAGCGCCTATTTTGCCACCTAGCCTGTTTTGTTGCCTGCTCGCGCTAATGTTTTCCGGATGGGAATATTCATTGTCGTTGTCATCGCCTGTGTCTACCATTTCATTTCCTCTAAGAGTCTTAAGTTCATGAATTACTACTTTCCTCTCACTATCGTTGTAATGAACTCCAATGTGCGTGCATTGTAACTATTTATTGACGATCTAATTATTAATTTCAGAATTCTTAGGCAGAAGCTCTTATCTTGCTTTTATGTCTTAACCTGCTGCGTTTTCTTTTAACTGCTTCACTCTAAGTTTGCCCCTTCCACACTGACATGGTCGCAGTATTAAATTCAGTGTCAGTAATCCTTTAGTTAAAACAGACACAGCTCTTTACAAATTGAGAACATATGGTGCTGCAATTTAGACTTTGGGAATAACATCTTACAAGTTGGTGATTGATTGTTGGTACTTTACAGTAGGGTAGGAGTTTTAAAACCACACTCTGACAGAAAATAGACACATGATTAGATTAAGTTAGGTGATTCCCACCATTCCCTTGAACTGTCATCACCTTTGAGTTCCTTGGACATTGCTCATTCTCTTCTCTCAATTGTCAAATCGCAGTAGGTCTCCATAGTGGTCATAATTTTGGTTGTCCTTTGCTATATTAAACTTTAACACTCTTCTTCCCATGGACTGTTGTTCTCTAACTTTGTTTTTCTTCTACATGCAGATTTCACGTTTTGCTCTCCAATACCAATTACTTTGTGTTCTGAACTGTGAACTCTTCTGTTTTCAGAACCTGTAGCGCGCTGAATATAGTTCTTTCCTTTGTTCAGAGATCACCCTTTGCTGGTAACAGGTATCATCTCTCAGATAAGCACTTCTTGCCTTTTGTATGATGCCTGCTTTCTCTGCGTTACTGTCATGGTATCTTCTTCTCACGTTTTGCTCTCCAAAACACTATGGCATAGGCCTGTTCTGGTTCTTTGAAGTTCTTAGTTATGCTGCCTCAGTTGTAATAATGATCTCATACTTGGAATTAACTTTACTTTCATTCTTCTACCATTTGTCTTCATGAACCAGTTCATACACCCACCTTTTCCTTAAGTAGCCCGGTTGCTGGACACCAATGCTGATAGTATGACGAGACCAGTGCAGGGGAGGCATGGTTCGTCAGATTGTTCTTCTCCGTCGAAAAACAGCGCAAGTGTAGTTAATCCGGTCATAGGCTCTTCAACGCCCGTGAGTATTGATCGAAGAGGGAGAAAGGCCACATTCACTCCATCTCACTTTAGCTCTATTCCTGGGAAGTCAGCACATGCCGTTGACCCCATTCCTTCTCGAACAAACAAGAAAAGACCAAGTCTGTTTGCATCCAAGTCACCTCCAGGAAAGGGAAAAGAGCCACGCCTCAGTTCAGTTCGTACGGGCACAGATGTCAATGAACGGCTACACGAAAATGATCAACCATTCTTCACCTCCCCTGCTGCCACAACACCACAACATTGTTCTTCAAATCCTGTCACTCAAGCCTCCCCTACGTCCAGCATGTCTTCAACTGGTGTGCGACAGAAATCCAAAGTTCAACGTGCACATACCTTTTGGAATGATGACATTCTGGATTTTGGGCTTCCTGAATGTGCTTGCCCATATTGCGGAGCTATGTTCTGGTATGCTGAACGCCTTGAACGACACCGAAACACCACAATGCCAATATTTGCTCTATGCTGTAATCATGGAAGAGTCTCTCTCCCTTTGCTAAAGCAGACCCCGGCTTATCTTAATAGCCTTCTTGATGTTAGTGGAGGCTCGGAATCAAGGCACTTTCGTAAAGAGGTTCGTCCCTATAACGGTATGTTTTCCATGAGCTCCATTGGTGCTAAATTGGATCGTCGGGTGACCAACTCTTCAGGACCATACTCTTTTGTTATTTGTGGCGCTAATTACCATCACATGGGATCGTTGTTACCACCGGAGGGGCAAAAGCCCAAATTCTCCCAGCTATATGTATTTGACACTGAAGATGAAGTCGGCGATCGACTTTCTAATTTTTCATCGACTAACCTTGCTTTGAAGCCTCATATAGTTGACAATCTGATCAAGATGTTTGATCAGACAAATGAGCTTGTCAAAAGCTTCAGGAGAGTCGCTAGGGAAGTACAAGATCCTGCAAATCATAACCTTCGACTAAGAATATCAGGTCACCGGGAAAACAACAACAGGCAATATAATTTGCCAACTGGGTCTGATGTGGCCGGGCTTATCCCTGGTGACTTCACCGCCGACGATGATGACAGAGATATTATTATTAACCATCGGGAAGAAGGCTTGCAGCGAATTGAAAGTCTGAATCCAAAATTTCATGCTCTGCAGTTCCCTGTTCTTTTCCCATATGGGGAAGATGGTTTCCATCTAGGAATCAGGTGCGATCCTGTACACAACTCGCCTACTGCCAAGAGACAGCATGTCACTGAAAGAGAGTTTCATGCATTTAGGTTACAGCACCGCGAGGCAGAAGGTCAGAGTTTGATGCGAGGTGGGAAAGCTCTGCAACACTATTGTGTGGATGCATTTTCAACCATTGAGCAAAATCGGCTTAAGTTCTTGCGTCGAAACCAAAAACTACTACGTGCTGAGTTATACAAGGGCATTTGTGATGCTTACAGCAAGGGTGACACAACCGGGAATGACATTGGTATGATTCTTCCTGCGACCTATACTGGCGGGCCTCGGTACATGAAGCACCAGTACCTTGATGCTATGGCAATTTGTCGTCGTATAGGCAATCCAGACCTATTTATAACATTCACCTGCAATGCACAGTGGCCAGAAATCACCAAAGCATTCGCAGATGTTGTTGGCCTAAAGCCGGAAGATAAACCAGATGTCGTTGTGCGCGTCTTTAGGATGAAGGTCGTTGCTTTGAAAGAGCAGATTCACCGGTATCAGTTTTTTGGAAAATCAGTTGCAGGTCGATGTTGTTATCTTACTCCTCTTTTTTGTTTCCCTTTACCATTCTTAGATTACATACATGCCAATTACGCCACCTTACCTTGACCCATCTATCTATGCTATGCATGTTCCCACCTGCTCATGTGGTACTCCAGTTCTTTTTAAATCATTGTTATTAGAGAACATTGCCAACCTTATTTTTACCACCCATCAATGATTGTCGTTGCTGTTCCTTTCTATATGTGATCTCATAGGTTGCTGGTTTTTGTTATTCTAAAGCAGATATACACACAATTGAGTTCCAGAAGAGGGGGCTACCGCATGTGCATCTATTGGTGTGGCTTCATGAGAATGATAAGTTGAAGACCACCGAGGCTATTGATGCAACAATTTCAGCTGAACTACCTGATCTAGAGAGAGACCCTCTTGGATATGCGACTGTGACAAGATTCATGCTACATGGACCGTGTGGTCAGTCCAATCAAAAATCTCCATGCATGATAGAAGGAAAGTGCAAAAAATTCTTCCCAAAGGCCTTCAACTCGACAACTACATATGATCACAATGGGTACATCGTCTATCGGCGTAGAAATGATGGTCGGACCTTTGACAAAGGCAATGGTATCCTCGACAACCGTCATGTGGTCCCTTACAATCGCAACCTGTTGGTCATGTTCCAGGCACACATTAATGTCGAAATCTGTCATAAGGGAAGACTCATAAAGTATCTGTTCAAGTATGTTACAAAAGGCCCTGACCGAGCTACAGTTGTTGCTGAAAACTGTCCAGCCCATCAACCAGCCAATACAGATGGTCCTCCAACAACAACGAGAGATGAAATTAAACAGTACCTTGACTGCCGGGTTCTCTCCTCATTTGAAGCAATGTGGCGGTTGTTTGAGTTCCCGATACATGAGCGATCACCATCAGTTATCTGTCTTCCTGTCCACCTCAAAGACCAGCAATCGGTTGCATATAATCCAGATGTATCCTTGCAATCAGTTGTCGAAGATCCTGAGAAGGCAAAGACAATGTTGACTGAGTACTTTACTCTTAATCGCATGGACCCACAAGCTAGATCACTTACATATGCCGAAATACCTACTGCTTATACATTCCATCTCAGGCCAAAACATTGGGCTAGGCGGAAGCAAGGCTATGTCATTGGTCGTATAGTCTTTATCCCTCCAGGGACAACTGATGTCTATTTTTTGCGCATGCTGCTGACCAAGGTGAGTGGTGCTACGAGCTTTGAAGACCTTATGATAGTTGACGGTGAAGTTTGTAAAGATTATCAAGATGCATGTCTCAAACGCGGCTTCTTAACCGATGATAATGAGCCTCAAGCAACTATGGTGGAGGTCGGCCAATGGGGAATGCCAGCCTTGCTCAGATCTTTGTTTGTCATGATTCTGGTGCATTCTGAGGTTGCTGACCCAAGGGCATTGTTTGAAGCTAATTGGAAACTTCTAGCAGACGATTTCTCCTATCGAACCCGACACGGTTTGGAGCTGCAACACTTTCAACCACCAACTGAATATTTGCATAATGAAGTGTTGAAGCATATCGAGGCTCTTCTGCATAGGCACTCAAAAAAACTAGCTGATTTTGGCTTGCCGCAACCTGCTGACCATATTGATAGTGTGGTTGGAAATAGATTAATTTGTGAACAGCTCAATTATGATGTCTGCATGCAGGAACGCATGGCCGTTGAGATTTTCTCAACATTGAATCGTGGTCAGGCTGAGGCCTACCACAAGATCATGGCTTCTGTACACGAAGGGGCAGGAAAATTCTTCTTCCTGTACGGCCATGGTGGTACAGGGAAGACCTATCTGTACAACACAATTGTTGCAAAACTCCGTAGTCAGCAAAAAATCGTTTTAGTGGTTGCATCATCGGGTATTGCGGCTACTCTACTTCCAGACGGATCAACCGGACATTCTAGGTTCAAAATTCCAATTGAGATCGATGGTTTTTCAACCTGCAAAGTTAAAAAGGGCACTCATTTGGCAGAGTTACTAAAAGCAACCTCGCTCATTGTGTGGGACGAAGCACCGATGACTCATCGCTATTGCTTTGAAGCTTTGAACAAGACTTTATGCGACGTCATGGATGTGCCTTACAGTGGAGATAGTCACAAGCCATTTGGTGGCAAGACAGTCCTGCTTGGTGGGGATTTTCGGCAAATCCTGCCAGTTGTTCCAAACGGTGGTCGTGAGGAAACTCTTAGTGCATCAATCGTTCGTTCTCCACTCTGGTCGCACTGCAACCTTCTCTGTCTACACCAGAATATGCGCATTAATCAAGATGCTGTTAATGAAACCGCTATATTCAGTGAAATGACATTCCCACAATGGGTTCTTGCTGTTGGGAATGGGGTTGCACCTACTGTTTCCTTGGATGAAAGTCCTGAAAGAACGTGGATGAAGATTCCACAATGCCTACTCTTGCCACAGGAAGGTGAATCCATTGAGCCAGTTGTTAATTTTGTATTCCATGGACTGCTCGAGGCTTACAGGTCAGTTTCCTTCCTCAAGAGTCGGGCTATTGTCACACCGACAAATGAAACCGTCTCTGCGATAAATGCTTCTATTCTTTCGTGCATTCCTGAGGAGACAAAAAACTACTATAGCACAGATAGTTTGTGCGCTGAATCAACGGACAACTCAGACTTGGATACACTGTATCCCATTGAATTCCTGAACTCTCTTTCTTTTAATGGGATGCCTGAGCATGAACTAACTCTGAAGCTTTATGCACCCATCATGTTGCTTCGGAATATAGATCCATTGGCTGGTATGTGTAATGGAACACGCCTAATGGTGACACATCTTGGAGAAAATGTGATAAAGGGAATCATACTCACCGGTACTTACGAGGGTACGGTGGTCGCTATACCGAGAATAGCTCTGAACTTTAGTGATCACAAATGGCCTTTCACAATGAAACGCCGCCAGTTCCCGGTACGACTCTGCTATGCCATGACAATCAACAAGAGCCAAGGCCAGACACTCGAAAAGGCAGGGGTTTTCTTGCCAAAACCAGTATTTAGTCATGGCCAGTTATATGTGGCAATTTCTCGGGTTCGCTCGGCAGCAGGCCTTAGATTCCTCATTCACAATGACGGTAGTCTTCCCCATGACTGCACCAAGAACATCGTCTACACTGAGCTGTATTCTGAATTATCCTACCCTGGTAACTTTGCATTCTGCCTTACACTTTAAACATAGCCACTCAGGTGACCTCTTTTACATTTTAATGATTACATTTCTTTACTTTCATAGAACATGGTGTGCCTGAACAGCTGGATCAACATCTTTGAAAGTAAACAGGTATGTATGCGTTATTGGCATGCCAGGTGCTATCTTTAGGTATGCAAACCAGGGTCCATTCTATCACTTGATGATTGTTGTCTGCTGTACAGACCATTTGTTGCAATCCAGTGCAGACCTGTGTTTAGATTTCAGTCATCCAAACAACACTATTTACTCCATTTTTTCTGTAGCCAGCCACAACTCTGGAGAGACTGCAGATGTTCAATGGAATTTCAGAAGTTTTTGCGATCTTCCCATCGCCGACGACTGGTGCTTTTGCCTATCTTGAATTTTACTGTGTCCGGTTCGCAGTTAAAGCATATTTCTCCTTCTGCTAGAATGTATGCAATCAAGCTTTATCTTCTGCGGTTTGGCAAATGGTGTGCATTTACTAACCGCCTTGGTGATAGAGCTTTTCTGCATATGATATCTAGAATAGAGATGAATGCTTATGTCTAGCTGTTCTTCCCATTTTGAACTGTCCTTTGCAACTGATGTATTTACATTTGCCTGTAAAATCATGTGAACTCAACAAATGTATTCGGTATTTGGTTAGACCGTGGCTTTGACTGTCTTCGTGCTACGTACACTACCAGGGTACAGCATACCAGGAAAAACAACATTTCTACCTCCCCACTGTTCTTAGCCGGTGCTAAAGCCGAATACAAACTTCGAACAATAGCCGTATGGGTCCTAATCTCCGGCACAACATTTTACAATTTTGTATTGCAGACTCATGAGATCAATCAGGGATGAAATCAATTTGTTTAGAACAGCAGGTTAGTGATAAGAAAGGAAAACCAACTGTGCACCAACATGTCTCAAGGTTGCTGCAGAATCAGGAATCTACCTTTGCCTGAATAGGGTTACAACTTTGCTTTCTTTACTCTTTCGGTGCAAATGAGGTTTCTTCGGCCTATATATATTTATTTCATTTAACGGTGTTTGCTTCTTTATCCAGCTATCACACACATCAATATCATATATCATATGCCAACCAGCAATTCAGATTCGCTTCATGTGCAGTGCTATGTCCTTACTCCTTAACCTTAACAATGAGTTTGTTCCCGCAAACATGTTTGCCGCCATACGACATTGGGCCTGATTACTTTTTCTGTTGTCATTGATGGACTATGACTGGGTTGTAACTGGATTGTATTGTGAGCAGCCCATCCAATAGAAAAGGCCAAGCTTATGGTCCCAAAAAGACCTAATGCGTGTGATAGATGGAGAAGCACTGGCCGCTAATTCGTACCATCTCCTACTTTCATTACCAATCCTTCCCAAGACCCTACAAACCTTTCTTTACACGACATCACTCTCAAGTCTCATCGTCTCTAATCCCCTCATATGAAGACTGCACCTGCTTTTCCCCTGCGCTTCTGCAATCTCGGAAACCCCTTAAAACACCAAAATCGCACTGATTGTTTTCCCTCCCAACGACACCTCCATCACCACCCCTTACCTTAAGTGCCCTTCCCAAGATCCTCCAAACCTTTCTTTACACGACATCACTCTCAAGTCTCATCGTCTCTAATCCCCTCATCCCTAATGTCCATCGCTTTGCTCCTGGTCGATGGTACACCCACTGTAGCAGCATTTGACAAGGCAAAGGCCATGCCTTGGCCAGTACCCTTCATCAGTACAAGAGAGGAATGGAAACCTTATATATCCTGAAATTCCACCCATCCTCAGTAGCGACCCTCTCATTTTCCAATCTCGACCAATCTTTCTGCATACGAACCTCTGGAATAGTGTTATCAAATGGCTTCCGAATACAACTTCGTCCTGGCTCCAGAAGGTAATCTCTTCTTCTGCAAAACCTATTGTGCTTGCTCTGTTATGCTTGGACAGTAACCCTGCTAATACATGGTCTCATTCGTTTTTCCAGAGCTGTCAGAAGCTCCTTTAACCATCGGAAGGCTTCGACTCGGCTTAAATGAACAACCAATTGTCTTGCGCCTGCTGCACTACTGGATGCAGAACTGTATTGAATCAGAACCAGCTCAACGAGTGGTACACAGCATCTGGATCGACAAACAGGTGTGTGGCCTCTTGGATGTCTCATTCAATATCATTCTAATTTTTTGCACGGTCTGGATGGTGATCACCTGGTCGACCCCTGACCAACAACACTAGGTCTGACCACCAAATAGAACATTCCCTAGCCTGGCCTGACCAAAAAATCAAATTATGTGTCTTTACGATATTATGTTCGTGACGAGATGCAATTCCTGTTAGGATTGCAGGTTGTCCTTCTTTATTTTCCTCGCTCTCTCACACTTCATAGCCTTGCAGGAGGACCTCATTGAGGCATACACACCGGTTTGCTTCGCGGGAGAACTGCCTGACTTTTTATACCCTGGGAAAATATTTATGTTGCGCTCTGGCCTCACAAAGCGACGTAGGCGGTCTTTGAGAACCTGCTCACCCATGATTCGCCTTAAGCTCACTGAAGGAGACAATCTGCAGGAACTGCCAGAGGACCCAGATCGTCCATGGTTCCCAAAAACTGGCTTCTATCCAACATCCTTCACTGGTTTGAGGAATCATTTATACTCAGCGACAGACTTCAGAGGTACCATACATTCCTTTTCCCTAGGAAAACACCCTGCCTACAGAAACCTCTACATTGTTTGTAATGTTCCTTGCAGATGTGGCGGGTCGGCTGGTCAGTGTTTCAGAAAAAGAAACTGGAAACTTTAGGGTGCCAACTATCTGTGCAGTGCTGGAGGATTCGGTGTTAGTACCTCACAATATTCCAATTAGATTTATCATGTGCATTAACATTTTGACTTCACATTATCGATTTTTGACTACTGCAGTGGGAACAAAATCATGGTGAACTATAAATCGCTCGACCAGGCTTTATCTCAAGCATTGATTGTAGAGGCTGAAAAGCGTGGTCCCGTTTTGCTGGCTTTTACAAGCATGTTCGTCGTTCAATCAGAAGGTAAGGTGTACGGAAAAACACGTTCTAACACATTTAAATATGAGTTTACACCATATCTAATTTCGTCCTTCTATTGTACCTGAGATGCAGGTCGTCTGTGCCTGCTCAACACAGCTGCAACATGCATAATCCAGGGTTCCTACTCGCGCCGTTTCAGGCACCTTAGAGATACGTAAGCATCGTTCAGCCAAGATTTTACTTTCTCAACTGAACTGGACACAATTTACTTGAATTTTTCCTCTCATACTGACTTCACTAACCTGCAACCTGTTTACTATAATCAGGTTCTCGCATGTTCACCGCCCGGTGGTCATTGGCCACTCACCTACACCTAGCCCTGTGTATGTTCGTTATAAAATGCCTGAAAAAACGACTCTGATGAAGTTAATGGCAGGTGAAAAGGAGCTGTTCCCAACACACAATGTAAGATTAGTTCATTCAGATTTTTACAGACATACAAAGATTGATTCCTGACTCACTTTAAAACACATTGTTAAAACAGTCCTCTGTTTGGTGCCTCATCAAGATAGAGAACATTCCAACCTATACAAGTCATTGCTACTATCCTTCTAATGACAACACAAACTGTCCGAGGTACGTATCGCAACAACACCATGCAAACCACTGAGATCAATTGGCTTCACATCTATGCCACATTCTCTGCAGGTTCCAGATGAATATTCAGTGTTGCGATGTCTCAACTTCGGCCATTCTGCTCTTCAGCAATGATGCAACGATTTCACTGCTAAAGAAGTCAGCAGAGGAGTACTTGGCTCTTACTAACTCTGCTAGGAATGCATGTCTCGGTTCTGTCTTAGACAGGATGTTCACTGTGGAGATTGGGACTGGCCAGGACACAGAAATTGCCAGTTCAGTGCTTGAGGTTGGGAGCATATGGGATCCGCTTGCCTTCGCCATCTAGCCACGTGAAGCTCTATCTATCTATTTCTTATGTCAAGAACTTCGGATATCGGGCCTGTAACCCAGAACACATTTTACTAGATTTGTCTGCTGTAGTTCTTTTGTTAACTGTTCACGGTGGAACAGGTGGTGCTTTTGTTAACTGTTCACGGTGGAACAACTTACTCTATTTTGTGGAACACGCAGACCTCCTCCTCCTTACCCTTCTTATTTCAATCACTGCTTCTTGACAATGCATATGCTTTTGCTTTCAGTTCCACAGTTTGCTCTCATGTTGACTTGAAGGTGTAATTTTCGTTTTAAAAAAAATCCACAAAGGTTCAGAATGTTTGCCAGACGGTGAGAGAGCTTGCTTCCTCTGACAGAATCTCCTGCACCAAGTTTAAGATGATAGTCGTTGGTTAAATAAAAACACAGAATAGTCAGTTCTAAACAATGCATGTACATAAAAGTTGGTTCGTTCTTGCCAGTTCACTTTAAAAGTAGGGCGAAATCATGCCTTCATTCAACTTAGTTTCTCACCGAGGTGAATGCCAAAAATGAGTGAAATTTTCCCACCATACAATCAGTTGCACAAATTTTCGTTCCCGCGGCGTAGCCGTGGGTGTTGATTCTAGTTAGATAATTAACTTGCAGACAGAGACAGTGTTCTGTTCTGGATCAGAAAAGAGATAGTACCATTTTGTTATCGTACTATCTCGCATCCCTTGTTCAATGAGTCAATCTTCTCATATAGATCAACAACTCTAACGAATTTCCTTGGCTCAACTTATAATGCAGACAATTTCATGCATCAGAAGCACACTTGATGTTTCGGAGACTAGATCATTGAATCAACAAATTATGCACATAATTGTTTCTTCGCATTATGCACAAAACTGGTTGACTTCATCATTCAGTTTATGCAGAACTGAATTCGGAGATGAATCATACGTAGCAGCAATAACAAACAAACGACATGGTCAGGCAAAACATCAAACTAAAACTCAAAAAATCTCCAAATTTCAACTAAGCAGGATTGAACATCCACGCATCACTTACAGAAGAAACGACAAACGACCACAGTTGCAAATTGCAGACCTCATCATTTCTAGACATATATCACATCGAATTCTTAGTAAACACGCTTACATTGTGTCACCTCCTTTCTCAATTTCGGGATTCGATTTCAGCTTGATCACAACTTCACAAAGCAAGTACGCGAGCCAGTGGTCAGAACAAACATCACCATCTCCAGTTCGATCCAAGTACCCCGAGAGGCACTGAAAACAAGTTGCAGGAATATCCATCTGCAAACGCCTTGAAATTTTCGGGGTTCGACATTCGTGCATCAGATGATCAGATACTTTGAGCTTCACTCCAAGAGACTGGTTCCAAATAATCTCACTAAAAACCTACTAGTACTAGGGGTGTTGATTACAAACCTACTGACATGAAATCACCACCGAACCCAGTTCACTCAATCCCAAGAAAAAGCTTCCACCATTTCAATGCATAGTAACTTATTCTAGACAACAAGAAAATTCTACCATTCTACTTACTAATTTGTCATGCTGCAGGTTTGATGGACTCCACAAACCCACTGCTGAGCAGCCGCTCAACGTACTTCCCCAGAATGTCCACCTCCAAGTTCACCTTCTGCCCAACATTCTTGAAAGGGATCACAACCTTCTGCTGCGTATAAGCCACGAGCATGAAATTGAAGCAGCTCTCCTCATCAAACACATCAACCACAGTCAGGCTCGTCCCGTCCACCGCGATAAACCCTTTCGGAACAACATACTTCAACAGCCCTCTATCCACCTTCACCTTCACCCAGAGCGAATCTCCTTCTGGATCCTTGGCAACTATCTCCCCCGTCCCGTCCACGTGGCCCTGCACGAAATGCCCGCCCATCCGGCTAGTGGGCTGAACCGCCCGCTCCAAGTTCACCGCCGAACCGGCCTCGAGCTCTATCAGGGACGTCTTCCTCAGAGTTTCAGGGGATAAGCCCACGGTGAAGTCTTCGTCGGTGAACTCGGTCACAGTCAGGCAGGTGCCGTTGACGGCGATGCTGTCGCCGAGATGGACGCCCTCGAGGACGGTGCTGGCTCGGATCTTGAGGTCGAATCCGCCGTCGGGGGTGTTACCCAGGTGCTTGACTTGCCCCATTTCTTCAACGATTCCGGTGAAGAGCGATCGGGTGGTCGAGGAGGAAAATCGGGTTTGGGGCTGGGATTTAGGGGTTTTGGTAAAGACGAGTGAACGTGAACTGGGATTTGAACTTGAGGTGGAGAATTTGAGATTGGACTTTTGTGGGAGTAGATTCAGCACTGTGATTGCAGTTGGTGATGATGGGCGAGTTCTCATGGGACAACAGATCCTGCTGGGAGGTTTGACCAGAGACGAGAAGGAATAACAGACTGCCATTTCTGTCTTCTTCTGGGTATGGATGTTTGAGATTAGTGAACAACAGCCGACTGTAACGATCAAAAAATGAGAGGCTTAAGCTTTGTGGGTTGTGGCTGTGGAATCGATTAAGGAAGATTGGAAAAGGATGGGAGAAGAAGGGGTTAATTGTATGGTTGGTCATTGAGGTTATAAAAAATGTAAGTTTGGTCATTTGAAATATTAGAATTATTAAGCCACAAGTAGCCAAAAATTACCAAAAACGAAATTTACTGTTCATCAAGAAAAAATCGGAGATTACTGTTCACGGAGGATGCCAACTCACATGTGAGCAGTTGCACTGTAAACCCATACACAGCCCTTTGGGCAGGTTAAACAGAACCGTTGATCAAACTATTTTCAGCCGTTGAAATCTTATCCCATAAACCCCCCGTCTCTTCTCTTTATTCTTCTACGTCAAATCAAAACCCCCCTTTCGGCCAAAAAAGAATAAAAAATTTCAAACCCTCCTGCCACCTATCTCCTCCCTCCCTCATGTTGAACTTTCGGTTGGTGTGAGAGGAGCTTGGTCCACCGTCGAAATCGAAGCCTCATGGGAGAGTAGGGCCAGTTTGATTCCTCAACTCCGTGAAATTGAAGCCGCCATGGGAGAGATGGATAAAATATAGCCATGTTGATTTTCCTGGCTTTTTCTTTCTCTTCATAGGACTCACGAAATCGAAGCCGCCATGGGAGAGTCGGACCAGTTTGCTTCCTCCACTCCGCAAAATTGAAGACGGCAACTAGATTTTGCTTTCTTTTCCATGGGATTGAAACAAGAAGCAGGGTAAAGGGCTCACGAGGGAGTTGAATCTGGAAGGGGAAACTGCTTGATGGACCAGTTTTCTTCCTCAACTCACGAAGCCGCCATGGGAGATTCAGATCAGATGTACCTCCCTTTTGATTTCAACCCTTTAATTAAATGCTCTGTTTCTACCCTTCCCTAAATGGGTTTTTGACCGCCTCTTCATATACCCTAACAAGAAATTTTGGTCAAATTCAGGGAATAAGTTGCCACAACTCCCTTTCCACTCTCATTGAATCTCGATTCAATTCAAATGGTCACTAATTGTGATCGTGCTGGTTGTTTCAGGTCGCTGGTGGAGACTGCAAGGGAAGCCATAAATCACGCCATGAAAGAGCCAGTAGATGGAAGAAGGGGCACGTTCTCCTTCCTACGTAGCTCTTCCCAGGCCCGGCCGGCATCTCCCATGTATTCCCGCTATATCGATGCTCCCATTATGTTCAATAAATTTGATAATGTAGCAATTTTCTGCTGTGTACTTACCAATGGCTCTGTCTCTTACTCAAGCTATCGTGGTTGCTCACCAGCTGGACAATTATGATTTCACGAAGCAACAGGTAACAACAAGTACAAAACTGATCAACCAGTTGTTTGATGTACGTTGTTGTATTATTTGCACAGGTAGCTCTCTATCAATATATTTGTTCATTTTTATAGACTGATGGTATATCTGTAGACTGTAATTGGCATGCATGTTTTCACCACTAGAAGACATTAATTCTTCTTTTTATGAAGCATGACTATCATGACTACCAGAAATTCATTACACATAATCTACCTGAAGTTTGTCCCTTGGTTTGATGTTCTGTCCATTGTTTGTGAATGCTGAAGGAATTGGTTGAAATTACACACTGCATTTTCTGATACTGCCTTATTATGATGCATCACTCATGTTAATGATTTGCTTATACAAGAGAGGTTTGATCCTTAATTGATAAAAGTCAGTGCCATCCAAATGCTTATAGATATAAATATTAGGATAGCAAGCTTCAGTTAGGTGTAGGAGTAGGACCCTGTTTTACAGCTTGAAAATGAGGGATGCTCAATTGATTGAAAGAGGAATGAAAGCAGTTTAGGATGATAGTCTTTTGTGTTCTGCTATAAGATAAGTTAATTGTGTTCAATTCGCGTAACTTAGTCGTGTAATTGTGTTTTTATTGTTTGCTTTACATACCATAGGATCGTTTACTTTTATTTGGGTCCCTTTATAAGGGCTGCATGTTTATAAAATTTAAATGCAGCACTCCTATTCACATGATCATTGATGGATCATCATCCTTATGTATCAAGCCGCCTTGGAATTGTCAGAGATCCTATTTTCCATCGGAATCCAGTTTAGTGCTTTCAAGTTTAATGTAATTATTCTGATTGCCATTTACTTAATGAGATTTGGGACAGGGAAATTAGGTCATCTAACCAATTTGTTGGTTGGATTTTCTATGACGATGTATTGGGTCTTTAGGGTGCATTATAATGGCTTTTGAAGAAAATTTTTGTTGTCAATATTTGCTATTGTTCTTTCTCTCTTCCAGCCTTCTCTCTTTCCTTGGTGAAATTTTGTTTAATAGAAGTCCAGTGATCCATAAGTTTTTTTTTCTTTTTAACAAAAGATAATCATATATTGACTGAAATATAGGTAGTTATATCCTGGAATTCAGTCAAGTTTGTTAAAGAAAAGAATTTGAAGAACTGCATTATCATTTCTTTTTTTTTTACACAAAACTAAATTATATAAAAATTATAAAATTCATTTTGTACCCGCCGCAGAGCGCGGGCCATTTATCTAGTTTAAATTTATTGGTGGTACTTTAATTTACTGAACTCGTCCACATTTGGTCACTCTCCGTCCAATTCCGTTAATTTTGGCTGATGTGGCAGTCAACTCTCAAAGTTGACCGTTAACTTAGTGGCGTGGCAATTAAAAAATAATAAATAAAATAAAATTTAATCTATTTTAATGTCCAACTCAGTTTTACCATAACATAAATAAATAAATAAAAATATTATAATTATTAATTATCAAATTAAAAGTGAATGGTGGACCAAACATTGAGCAAAGATTACCGAGTGAGCTCCTTCTCCTCCTTCTTCGGCTTCGTCTCCGTCTTCTCCAATAATTCCCTAAATACAGTAAAAATTAAAACTAATTCCCACAATACATAACTTTTATAAAAAATTCCCAAACTACCAAAGTTTGACATGGATCGAGTTTAAAAAACTCGAACTAGGAGGGGTTCGATTGAAAGCAAATCGATCCACGTGCATCGAGGATATAACACTCGATCTACACGAACTGGATCGATGAGATGGCCAGCGCTCTACCATAGATCGATGCCCAAAGAAGCGATCTAGGCCGTTTATTGCTCAATAATCGAAGTGGTGAAGACGCGGATCGAACGGAATAAAATCGATGCAGGTAGATCGAGTTAGTGGCAATCGATCCACTTGACGCGGATCGATGACGTAAGGCGCGCACTACCATTGATCGAGGACAGTAAACTCGATCCACGCCGTTCGATTCCAAAGCACGCGAAGCAGGGTTGACGCGGATCGAGTGCGTTAAACTCGATGCAGTCGATCGAATCTCTTATGGTCGATTTATTTGACGCGGATCGATGACGTCAATGGCGAACAACCGTTGATCGAGGTCCCCAAACTCGATCTGGTTCGTTCGATGGAGACATCCGCGATCTTCTTTTGACGCGGATCGAGTACCTGTTAATCGATGCCCTAGTTCGAGTTTTGTAAACTCGATCCACTCTCCCACTGCAGCTATAAATACCCCCTTCCATTCCACCAAATCCCACACCACTCCATTCTTCTTCCTCAATTCCTCCCACCACTCTTGAAGAAAAAAATATGCTCTGTGGTTGCGGCTAAGCCCGATCTTCCGCATCAGATTTTTTTTCTTTAGTTTGGTACTTCTATCACTCAAAATTGTCGAGATGGATCCGAGTATTTACGATCCTAGATTATACATTCAAGGCGGACCGCGAGAAACCGATTTGTTGGATGAGCAACCTTACCATCGGTCTGAAAGTGTTTGGGCGGCAGATCCGGTAAGCACTTCCTCATTTACTTTTCTTTTTTTAAATGTGA